TTTTTTTATTATTTTTTTTTCTGCCTTCCCCCAACGACTTGCGCCACGGAGCCAACCGTCTGCCGTAGAATCTCAGCCTAAGGCCACCAATCAATCCCCCATATCATTTTCGCAGGTGCAAACTGCCGACTCTCTACGGCAAATCTCCCTCCCCAACTGATACGCGCTCTAGGTGCGCGCGCGTTTTTTCGGGGAGAGTTCGGTTAATTGCTGCGAGCTGATACCATCCTGTGATTCACGGTGGATCTGAATTTAATTCTCCAGCCGTCAATTACCGATTGGGAGTGTCCGTTCACCGTGCATACCGCGTCGGGACGCGGTGGTCACATGTTTGCTATCTGAAAGTCTGACGGTCCATCTAAAAAGGAAAAGCAAGGCACTTAGATAGCGCGGAAATTATACAACCCTCCTTGGGTTCATATCACCGCCAAGATGATGGGATATGGCGGTCATTCATTTCACCAGCAACGGCAAGCTCAGCAGAATGCCCATCCTCAGCAGCAGCAACATCTCCAGTCCCCGTCGATGGGGGCCGCTGCTGCGGCTGCGGCTGCCACGCATCAACAACATAACAGTGGTATCGCCGGGAACAATTCCCTTCTGCGCGGCCAACAGCAAGCTGATCTGGCAGCTCATTCTCCAGATCTTCGTAAGATGACTCCGTCCTCGTCGGCGCCGCTAGTGGGAATTCCCACGGCCGGCAATTTCGCTTCCTTCCCTGGCCATTTCCCGCCGCAGGGTTCATCCGATCTGTTGTCTCGAGGTGCGGAATCAGTGGGTCAGTTAAAAGACCCTTATCTGTCGCTGCAGAACTTGCAGAGGAATATGAATCCCATGGCTAGTTTTCGCGGACACCCCGCGGCGGCCATGAACGCTCAGGCAGCCATGTCACCGCACGCGCATGCCATGGGCTTATCGTCGCCGCAGCAGTCGATAGATCGCATGCAACATACGCAGTATCAACACCGGCAGACGACGCATACCCATCCGGCGCAAACCCCCACGACGGCATCGCCCATGTTGGCCGCGGCTCAGCCCCAGCAGCAGCATCAGTACCAACAGCAACAGCCGCAGTATCAATCGGCACAGCAGCAGGCGCAATATCAAGCAACGCAGCAAGCTCAATATCAACCACAGCAGCAAGCACAGTACCAGCAAGCCCAGCAGTCTCCCTACCAACAGGCTCAGGCTCAGCCTCAGTATCAAGCACAAGCGCAACAGTCGCCTTACCAGCAGCAAGTGCAGCAAACTTTCCAGCAACAGCAAGCTCAACAGGCACAACAGGTCCAGCAACAAGCGCAACAGCAAGCACAGCAGTCTTATCAGCAGCATGCTCGGTACCAATCGCAGCAGGCCCAGCGCTCGCCGTATCAATCACAAGCCCAGCAGCACCCGTTCCAACAAGCTTATCAGCAGCGTCAATATCAACCGCAGCAACAAGCACAGTACGCGCAACAAGCGCAACAACACCAGCAACGGCCACCGCAGTCGACAACGCCGTCAACAATGGGGGGAAGTGCAGAGCTCGCAGTCCAAGAGCCAGAAGCGGAAGAGACTAAAACTAAGCGACGTCCGAAGCAAACCAAGGCGACTGTATCTCCTGCGATATCAGCGAAACAAGTGAATGGTCAACCGCCAGCTGTATACGCCACAGACGCTCAGACTCAGGCTCATGCTCAGGCCCAGGCCCAAGCGCAGGCCAAGGCTCAGGCTCAAGCGCAAGCGCAAGCTCAGGCTCAGGCTCAGGCTCAGGCTCAGGCACAAGCACAAGCACAGGCTCAGGCTCAAGCACAGGCTCAGGCACAAGCACAAGCTCAGGCACAGGCACAAGCGCAAGCTCAGGCACAAGCTCAGGCTCAGGCCAAGCAACAGCAACAGCAACAACAGCAACAGCAGGCCCAGCAAACCCCGGGGCAACCTCAAGCTCTAGCACAAGACAAACCCGCGTCGGCAGACAATACGGGGACTCCTAAAAAACGAGGTCGTCCCCGCAAATCTTTAGTCCCAGGAGAAGAAGGCAAGACGCCGAAGCCTAGAAAGACTCCATCCAAAGCAGCGGCAGCTGCCGCCGCCGCGCAAGGCAACAATGCGACTCCGACCTCGACTGCTAAAGGCCCAGCTACAGCGGCGGCCGTAGCTCCAGGCGTACAAGGACAAGTTCAAGCTCCCCCACCCGCCGCGCCTGGCACCGTCCTTAGTGCAGACGGCACCGTAGTGCCCCAAAAGAGACGCCGTGGTCGTCCGCGCAAGTCCGAGATTGACCCCAATGCTCCGCCAAAGCCCAAGCCTCCCCGCAAACCAGCCTCATCGAAACCATCCGGTACAGGACGTCCTCGTGGCCGTCCTCGTAAGGCCGATGTCGCTGCTCGACAGGCGGCAGCCGAAGCTGAAGCGCAAGCCAAGGCACAAGGCCAGCAACCTCCAACACAAGGCCAGGGTCAACCCCAACCTCAAGCACAGCCCCAGCAGGCCCAGCAGGCCCAGGGCCACGTTCAACATCAACATCAACACCAACACCAACACCAACACCAGCCCCAGCCCCAGCCCCAGCCTCAACCAAAGGCTCAACCTCATTTGCAGGCTCAACCACAAATGCAGGTGCAACCACAGATACCAGCCCAAAATCAGATGCAAGCTCAGCCTCCGATCCAAGCCCAATCAACTATGCAAGTTCAGCCCCAATTGCACCACCACCAGCTCCAGATGGCCCATCAGCACCACCCGCAACACCATCCGCATCCACAGCAGCATCAACACCATCCCCTTTCACATGCGCATCAGCACCAGCATCCTCAAGCTCAGCACGCCCATCACGTGCAACACGTGCACCAGCATCCGCATGCACAAGCGGATCCAATGGCCCTAAACCCAGCTCAAAAGCGTGGGCCACCGTCTCTAGACGATGACCCGCGCAAACGAGCCTATATCATGCCACAGATGTAAATCGTGCCCTCAACCCGTGGAAATAATCACTACTCGCATCTCATAATCTGCTTATCCGTTTGTCGACAGTTCTCAGAGCAACACATATTTCTTTCTTACATCTCCTGTTTCCAGTCTATATCTGTTCCATTCTATTTTTCCAGCATACCTACGACAATAGTTTTTTTCATTCATATTCATTTCCATATTCATATTCTAGTTTTGTTTCACTTTATCAACCAATCAAGCCAATGCTCCCACACATCAATCAATGTTAACGAGTTAATTTCCTTTCCGCCACGAGTTTGTCTTTTTTTTTGCTTTTCCCATGCTGTTCTTTGAATTCTGCTTTTTCTGTCTTTTTTACCCCCAACTGGTTCTGGTTCTTCAGCGTCAGCTATACGTATTTACTTACTTTGTCCGCCCCGAACCTCCCGGTTATTCTAAGCTGTTTTGCATTGGTTGAGTATTGACTTACTGGCTAGTTTTATTGTTAGTTGAATTTACCTCAAGTGGATCTTTACTATCACTGTCTATGTATTTTGTGTGTGTAGGATTTGACTGGGGATGTGTGTGAAACATGTTCGGTTTGTGTCCGGGAAATTCGGAATTATATTGCTTGATCTCATTTTCATTATTTTTACACGGTTGATAACATGGCAAATCTAGTAGTCAACTTAGGTTTAACATTGTTATTAGTCACAGGTCTACAATTTAGTTAAGTTAGTTGAACAGGTTTCATAATGTCATGGGCACGTGCCAAAAGAAGAAATATAACTAAAAATGAAAATAAAATAATGCGGGTCCATTTGCCAACATTCAACTCCAACATCCAAATAACTCACTTACTGAGCATAAAGCTTAACAGATATCTTCCGGTCCATCTGTCACCATCCAGATAGAGTTGTTATTGGAAGGCAAGGACGCCCCATCTGGGAGACCGGTAAGATCCAGGCCCAAACTCGGTGCGATGCGACGGATAAAGCTATCGCAGAAGAGAAAGGCACGTCGTGCAGCAGTATTGGTGTAGCTCATGGTGTGAAGCCAGCGGATGACTTTTTTACATGCTTCAAGCATGGTTTGTGGGTTGACAGGTGGGGCCGCTGGGCTAATATGCTTGGATTTCTTGGGCAACTCGGTAATAGACCAGCAGGAGAGTCCGAGGAGTAGAGCGGTGTTGGCTTGCATTAAGTAATGGAGGAACGTCCACCATGGAGACACGCGTGCCAACCAATAAATATCAGGTTTCTCGGGGAGGATGGAGGTCAGGGAACAGGCGGAGCGCAGACAGCTGAGGGCCATCTCGTTGCGGAGGTCGGAATGTGAGGTCTTTGCTGACTGGGACGAGCTTCCTTTCAGATTGGCATGAGTGACGCACGGCCTGCAGAGTGTAATCTTGGCGCTGTAAAAGTTGAAGGCAAGGCATATTCGCTCTCGCTGGAAGGGATCATCAACTGCTGGTGCGTGAAATTGTTCGCTATGTGACTTAGTGAATCGAAAAGCCTGGGGAAGCTTGGACAGCCAGGTCTCCAGGGTCTTGTCGTATTTTCGTATGCGGCGGTGAATCCTGCCACTGGGCTCGCGTAAAGCTTGGATGCTGTAGACTTTGTTCATCACAGCTTGAGTTATGCTCGTGAGGTCCACCAGGCAATAGAAAAACAGAGATGGGGTGGGCTCGCAAGTCAATAACCATTCGGCGCTGGATCGAGCCTCCTCTTCCGTTTGGAGTAGGGTCAGCTTTAGGTGGCTTTCACGCATGGATGAATCCTGGAAAAGAGAAAGAACCTCCGGTTTACCGAAAGCGTCCTCCTCAAATGGCACTGGGAGTGGCGTGGAGCTCAGGTTCTCACTGACGCAAGAGACTCGGCCCGTGACGGACGTAAGCTGATGCTCAAGAAGATAGATAGACCACCATAGGCGGCTTCGTGCTTCTTTCGACGTGTAGTGTGTCCGACCATCCACCAAGCGAAGGTTAATCCCAAGTGATAAAGCTGATCGAAGTGCCATACTTGAGAATTTAAAAGACCTAGAATTGTTAATATGCGCTTCTTCGCAGGTCGGCTTCCTACCTACCTATTAATTTGACCCATTGACAGCAAGTATAAAGCCACTAGAAACTCCACTTGGATTTGCTGTAAGTCTGCATGTTCAAAAAGCACATTTCCGCTCAATGCCAACTTTCTAGCGCGGTTCAGGTACAGTACATCGTCCAAGTCCTCATCCCCTGCGGGGTCCACGAGATGTTGATATCGACAACCAATAGCGAATATCATATTCAAAATGGCAAGCCATCTCCGCGGTGGATTCGAAGGTTGGCTAAAGAATTGACGATATTGCGCAGTAAAGATACTCTTCCGGATGACCATGAATGCCGGATGCACAGACTCCATAAATGCGGTAAAGAACTGGTCCGCTAGCTCTTTTGGTGGCAGCGCGTATGCATCCACGCAATCCATTAATGGGAGTTGAAGGTCGTCCAGATGATAGCTTACTGTTGTGGTGGCGACATCATGCTTTTGTTCCTGCGTAGAAGTAGCTTGATCTAGTGCAATGCCCGAGTCATCAAGGCCTTGACTACGACCCTCAACCTCATCCTCCAATCTCTGCATCCATGATATCTCGGAGTTCTTTCCAAAGAATCCCATGGCTATTGACTTCTCATCCCGATTCAAATCCTCATCTATCAAGTCAATCTCATCCAGGGATCCAATCGATGAAGTTTCGTCTCCTGAGTCGGAGTCATCATCTGCAGACGATGCCTCAGAACCCTGCACTTATTAATAAACTGTCCTATTCCCCAAGCGAGGTCAACAGGTTGATGGGGGTGCACAAATGGTGTTACAAACCTGTAAGCATCTTCTGATCCGCCTTGCGAGAGCACCTTCGACTTCCGCCTCAATCCCTTCCAGTAGCTTCTCATAACGCTGGACCTTCTTCGCTAGCACCCCAAGCTGTTTCTGATCTCGGACTCGTTTCACATCTAGATAGGAACAGCTCACATTATGCTCCACACATTGTTTACAGGCCGGCTTGTTCCCATCGCACTTGATTTTCCGCTGACGACAAGGTTCGCAAGCGCGCGCAGACCGGCGACGCTGGGACTGACCACTGATACCTGCGGTCCGCGGAATAGCCACCTTTGGAATCTCTCGTGAAGAGGACGATCTGGACGACTGTTGGTTTGGAAGCGTAGGTCGGTCCGTGTATGGCGGTATGGCATACGGGTTGAAGCTCATCACCGGGAAGCTACCAGGACTGACAGGCACCGAGCCCCAAAGCCAGTCTGAGGACGGAGGCACCGAGGGATCGAGTGGGCCTCGAATGCTCTCCTCGCCGGTCGGAAAATTGTAATAATACGGCTGAGGATTATTCTCCATTGCCAGATGACACAGTGGTCGATATGACCCATGAACGGCAAGGGTGTATTTGTCTCATAGCAACAGCTGAGCAGCTTTCGCTCTGCAGGGCTTATCAGGTCCTCGGTAACAAGGCACGGACCGCAATGGCCTTGACTGGCTCGACCCATAAGCTTTGAAGAGAGGATGATGTAGTCCAACGGGAGATGAACAGCCAATGATGTCACCACCCGAGGATCACGGGAAGAGGGCAATCAACTACTTATACAAATCTATATAGGATGATATCGGCGGTAGACACGCTGACACGAGAATATTCATATTTAAGATATGAATAAACAGGCTAGTAGATACTGTGCAAACTTCAAGTACAGGATATATGTAGTTTTTGGTCTGGGCATTCCCCGCCCCTCCGGTCGACCACAAAGCTGGGATCTATCGTGCTTCTGGTCGGTACCTCTCCGGAGCTACTTCATCTTTCCCTAAGCTCAGACTCTCATAACAATCGAGCATGTCGAAGAGTGTGTGATCTCCTTCTCCCGGGATACCATGGTACCGCTCATCCTCATTCAACTTCTCCAATCCCTTGGCGTAACCATCCCATCGTGATGGTGATGATATATCTTCAGTGAATAAAGCCTTCAGTTCATCATTGACAGTACTCGAGCTTGATGCCCGCTGCCCCTGGCCTTTGGTTAGAACAGACTGTCGGAACAGATGGAATAGATTTCTTCCTAGCTGAGAACGGCTGGCTAGGCTTATGAAGGCGCTCGTCAGCGATAGGAAGTCTTGATCCAAAATGTCAAAACTGTCATGATCTAGCATTGTAAACAGAGCCAGATTGATGGCATAAAGCGCAAAGTGGTGTGCACGACTCATGCCATATTCCCGTCGATAGAGACGTGTCAAAGCGGAAATTGCACGCGCCGAAGAAAGGATATTCTCCAAAGCATCGAACTTCGATCGTGGTGGGCTAAGCCCGGGTGGGCTCTCGGGCGTCTTAGGAGCCTCGGAATCGATACTTGACACATCATCCTCGGGCCTCCACGAAAATAGATTGATGGTCAAAGTATGATACCTCATCCTGATATAATAATTAGCATTGATATAGTAAGGAGGAGGGAGGTAACATGGGGCTTCATCAATAAGGATCTACGAAGAATGTTGACATGCGCGAGAGGGAATTTTCCGTGCTTAGTACCTTCGACGAAAGACATAAGCGTAAAGAGAGGCGTACCTTAGTAATATAATATATGGGGGTGGTTTGTGATCTGGGTTGAAAGTATCTGGTAACCCCTGATGCCACCGACGAAGCCTTTCATACAGTGCCTCTTTAGTGCGGCGTTGATGATATGCGGAGTGAGAGGAACCGTTGATCGCATACAGTTGCCGTGAAATATCACGGGCAATTTCACACAGGTTGCATGACTCGTCAAAGTACTGACTAAGAAGGGACGGTCGAGGAGTGCGATGGGAGGGATAGGGAACCCACAGAGCCGTCTCATCCATTCGAGCTCTGTCAGGCCGCTCCAGGTTGACTTTGTCAATTAAACTTGGTCTTAAGAAGTCGGTGTGGACGACACTAGTCACAAGATAAGAGTTACCCTTCTGTAGTGGTAGGATGACTTACGTATCTATATGAAACAAGCCCCAGGCGGTCCGCTTGATAGAAACATCCATATCATCCGTGAGCTGTCCAGAGCTGAACTTGAAGACTTTAGGGCCTATTAACCCTAGTGATTCGCCCGTCCATATCGCTTGATGGAGCATCTTATAACCGAGGTCATTATGTCCTGATATGGAATACCTTTGTGGATGTTAAATAGCAAGCGCCAATGAAGATAGCGTATGAGTTGACTGCAAACCTTTCATATAACAGAAGGGTACCTTGTAGGAACGCGAGGCTCAGCTTTGCGGGTTCCTCGTCCCTGAGCCGTTCAGCCTCGGCGAGAAAATCAGCGCCCTTGGTTACAATATCGCCCGGATCCACATATGCCTCTGAGTAGTCCGAAAAATGCTACATGGAATCAGTATGTATCCACAGAAGTGACGGGCTTATTACATACGCATGCATTTGCAAGAAGTGCGTTGACCAGAAATGGACTACAACACTCCGAATTGAGGTCGCCTCTGGTCATGTCTCGTAGGAACACGTCACGATCGAGAAAGGCATGAAACGGGAAGTCCCAGGTGAAGTACAGGGATATTAAGTGCGATACAAGATCTGCATCCTCAGTAACTGTGGTCCATGGCTTTGCGGGAACTCGGAAGGGCACCTCATCGCATAAGTAATGAATGTCCATGACCTTTGGACGAAAGGACGGTCCGGCGCCCTCGGCATTGATCACCCGTCGAACATCCTCTAGCTTGCGGACAGTGACCTCGTCCGCACTGTCCGTCCCTTCCATCTGGGCCAGCGCCTCGTCGATAAATCCACGCATCTCCTCCGCGGTGGCATCTCTTCGAATGATGTCCAAGAGTCTGAGGCCAAACGATTGATCATCCGCTCTCATCACCCTCAACAGGTCATTGAGCATGTCTCGGTGATAGCTAAGCTCATCTGCGGTACGTTTAGCGGCTACTCGCCGGCGTTGATCTAGGGTTTCATCGAAGATGCACTGTCGATTGAAGGCCCGACAATTGTCACACGGAGGTACCCCAGAGCACTAGGTCACAATCTGTCAGTAGCAAACTCAATTCCATTTCTTGATTAGGAAGGAAAGAGTGGCGAAAACGGAATCCTATCAGTGTTGCTAATAATAAGAAAAGGGGAATGAAAGACGAAAGAAAGAAGAAAGGATCGGGGAGATATTCATGCTGCAAGATCTTGCGCAAATAAAGTCAACAACATACTTTCCGCTTGGACTTTTTACAAGCCAAACAGGCCATAGACACCCGCTTCTTTGAAGGATCCATCGGCGTGGTCCGGTAGTTTTCTCCAGGCGGACTATCACCCGGGGGCAATTCAGATTTCAAAGATGGTCCCGGGGCAATTTGACGGTGCGCTGACGGTTCGCTCATAGTGGCGGCGAAAGCATACAATAAATAAACACAGCCAGTCCAACTCGTTCGCCAACCACTCGCCAGGGACCCACAAAGCATTTGAATAGAGTGTGGTGAAGGCGAATTGATGAACATCAATGAGTCTTATACTAAGAAACACAGTAAAGTCTGCCATGTGAAGAGGAGTCCAGAACAAGAAGACGGCTCCAAGGCTCCGCAAAACACGAGTCCATAAGCCCCTCCTTCTTGCTTGTATTGAGCCTGAGTTGCCTATGCATGACGTACAGGAAAACGTTAGAGGCGTAAGGCGATTCTGGTTATGGCAACAGGAAACCGTGTCCGAACCCTATGGCGTCCATGGCCACGTCAGGTGCTACAGCAACCACATCTTACAAATCGGTAGGTCAGAAGACCAGGTTCATGAAAAGGACCTCGGAACTCCTTTACAGCTTTTCTCCTCGTTCCTGAAGCCATAGCGGGTTGACTGGGAGTGATGGACATGGCAAAACACCCGGAAGATAGTCCCGCGATTTGGCACGTGATTGGGGTCCCGAATGGGGACTCGAGCAATCATGTGTTACCAGAAAGAGGCCGAGTAGGTTTTTTGAGTTAAGTCGAGGGGCCACCGAACCAGGAAATTGTCCTCGATTCTAAGTATCCAGGGTCTTTGCTTACGCGGATGAGACACGCTGTGCGGTTAGATTGATCCTCCGGCGTCCCATCGGGCCAGGAATGAGTTCGTTAGAAATCAAAGAAATCAAGAGGAAATGCTGTCCAGACAAAGTCAAATAGAACTAGTAGTTAGAAGATAATAAAAGATTATGGACAATACTAAACTAAGTTTTGCTGCACACCCCAATCGAAACCGTTGCCACGAATGCGCCTCCCAGACGTTCAATCAACACAGGATATATGTTAATCAGACCCAAAATCTACATAAGGTAAGAAACCCCCGCTTCTAAAACAGATCTATCCGGCCTTGCAGGCACCTCCTTCTGTACCAGCCCAGGGAAGGGCAAACGGAGAATGGCGCAAGCCGAAGGCAGTC